CGAGCATCCTCAACACCGCCGCGCTGCCCGAGCGCCGCAACTAGAGTTCCTTAGGTTCATGCGCGAGCAGCCGTAGGATCGCCTCGTAGGCCGCGAAGACCGCGCCGTGCTTCACGAGCGCCCGCATGACCGTGGGCGCGGCGCCGTTCAGGAGGCGCGCCGGGTCGCGGCACGCCGTTTTCAGAGCCGGGAGGAAGCGCGGCGCGAGGCCGCCCTGGACCATGGTCTTCGCCGCGTCCACGGGCAGAACCATGAGCCAGGAGAGCGCGCCGGCGAGCGCGCCGGCGAGCGCCGCGCTCAGGCGCGGCCGGCTCGACTCGTAGATGCTAAAGTAGGCCGCGTACTGCGGCGCTTCCCTCCAGAACGTCGCGCCAACACCGAGGAAGAGCGCGCCCGCCCGCCAGAGCCGCAGCGCCGTCGCCTGGGTGCCCGCGCTTGCGCCGCCGTCGAGCTGCACGACGATCTTCACCCTCTCCACCGGCGCGACGACGAGCGACGCGACGGCGCCCGCGCCGAAGGCCGACAGCGCGCCGGCGCCGCGCGCGACGCCGAGGCGGCGGAGCACGGCCTTCCAGAACTCGCGCGCGCCGAAGACCGTCGACTTGACGAAGAACGCGCCGACGAGCGGCGACGGCAGGCCCGCGAAGACGCCGCGGACGCCGCGCTGCCGCGCGAGCGTCGTCGCGGCGACGAGGAAGCTGGAGCCCTGCGTGAGGCACTGCGTCTTGACCTGATCGATGGGATAGGAGATGACCTCGCCGACCATGGACCCGAGGGTGCCGGCGACGACGACGTCCAGCGACGACGGCTCGCGCCGCTGCAGCGACGGCGGCGCGGCGTCGCGCGGGCGCGGCGGCTCACGCTGCGCTGGCGCTGCAACGGCTGCCGCGAGGCACAGGAGCAATCTCACGGAGCTGCAATCCATCGCGCAGGCGTCCAGGCCGGTGATGCCTTCAACGCTTCAACTTTTTCGATAACATCCATGGTTTTCAACGCGCCTCGGAGATGATGCTCTCTCCCACGCCGCGTGGAACGTAGGCATTTGGAAGCAAAGGAAGACATCATGCCGACGCGGCTCGCCCTCATGCGCGACCAGGTGCGCTACCAGCCCGGCTCCGCCGACGCCGTCTTCGAGCTCGCCTACGAGTACTTCCGCCTGCGCAACTACAACGACGCGGCCATCGGCTTCAAGCGCGTGCTGCTGACGCGGCCCAACGACGTCGAGGCGCTGAACAACTACGCCGTGGCGCTCTACCGCACGCGGCGCGGGGACCTCGCGCGCGAGTCGCTGCGGCGCGCGGGCGACCTGGCGGCGGGCCACGCGGTCGTCCAAAGGAATTTGGGCGTCGTCCTCGACAGCCAGGGCCGGGTCGCCGACGCGGTGGTCGCCTACGCCAAGGCCGCGAAAGCGGCCCACGAGGAGCGCAAGCCGAAGATCGAGTCGCGCGCGCGCGACGCGCGCGGCTACTGCCTCGAGAGGCTCGAGAAGCTCGACGACGCCGCGCGCGAGTACGACCTCGCCTACGAGCTCGACGGGGACAACTTCCAGGCCAAGGAGGACCAGGCCCTGGGGCAGGCCCTGCTGCGGCGGCGCCACCTGGAGGGGTTATGCAAGCAGCTCGGGAAGGCGAAAATAGAGGACCTCCCGCGGAGCGACGACGAGAAGAAGCAGGACGCGCTCGACGCGCGGACGCTGGACCCGCGGGCCCTCGAGATGCGGTCCCAGCTGCGCTTGGATGGCTTCGACGAGCAGCTCCGGGGCACGCCGAAGCCGCCGCCGCCGCCGCCGCCGCCGGAGTCGCTCCAGCCCGTGAGTTTGGAGCCGCTGCCGGGGCCCTGGCGGCCGAGCGGCGAGAGCGTGTGGCTCAACGGCGCGGGGTCGAGATTTCTGCCGCCCTGCCGCATGATGCCCAAGCGCGACATCCCGTCGCTCGTGCCCCGGTGGCGCAAGCTGAAAGCCGTCCAGAACGCGGCCGCGGCCTTTGGCGACGACCGCGTGGACCACGGCGGCGAGTACGTGCCGCCGCGGCCCGCGTACCTCGACCCCGTCGGCGACGTGCCGCGGAAGAAGCCCATCTACTACTCCAACGACAAGCCCGGCCGCGGCCTCGGCGTCTCCGTGCTCCGGCACCGGTCGAACGTCCGCGCGGCGCTGTCGACGATGGGCTTCGACTCGACGAAGCTCGCGCAGCTCGGGAACCACGGGCCGCGGCTCTGCTGGAACTCGACGCCCCGGAGCCGCCTGCGCTACCGCCTCCCGCCCGAGGACGACGCCGACGACCGGGAGCCCTGGGAGGTGACCCTCGCGGAGCGCAACCACTGGCGCACGTAAGGAAGCTCCCTTAACCGTCGCCCTGGGGCTGGAGCATCAACGCCGCGGCCGCGCCGAGGGGGTCCTCCTCGACGTCGGCGTCGTCCTCGTCGTCGTCGTGGGCCTCCTCGTCCTCCTCCTCGAGGTCGCTGACGTCGCCCTCGGTCTCCGGCCCGTCCTCGCCGCGCTTCGCCCTGGCCGCGGCGGAGATGGCCTGGAGCTTGTCCGCGGCGTCGGGGCCCTTGTCGTCGGCGGTGCGCTCGTGCGCGTCGTGCGCGCGGACCTGGAGCGTCTTCCACCGCTTCTTCGCGGCCTTGCGCTGCTGGCCCTTGGTGCCCTTGGAGCCCGTGCCCTCGGAGCGGTGCTCGTGGTTCGAGTCCTGGTCCGTTTTCTGCGCGTTCTCGAGCGCGATCATGCGCTTCTTCTCGTCGGACCGCGCGCGGAGCTCCGCGAACTCGTCGTCGTCGAGGAGCGCCTCGAAGTCGTCGGAGTAGGTGAGCCACTTGATGAGCTTCTTCCGCTCCTTGACCCGGAATCTACGCTCGTTCTCGAGGGACAGGTCCCGGCGCATGTTCGAGTTGAGGTCGAAGTTGTCGCGGTAGTCCGCGGGCACGACGAACGCGTTGTCGCGGATGGCCTTGGTCATGAGCTCCATCTCCTCCATCATCTCGAGCGTGATGGCGCGCTTCCGCTTGAAGATGGACACGAGGGGGTTCTCCTCCTCCTTCATGACGACGGTCGTGCACATGGACATGGACCGCTTCTTCGTGGAGTCGTCGATGATCTTCATCTTCGCCTTGCGGTTGCGGTGGCGCTCGTTCTCCTGCTCGTCGTTCCGCTCGAGGCGCGCCGCCGGCGACGCGCGCACGCGGTCGTACTCGATGATGAGGCGCCGCAGGGGCACGAACGCGCTCGACTCCTGGCCCGCGAGGTCCACGGCCGACTGGCGCGCGCCGCCCGCGCCGCGGCGCCGCTCGCCGATCATGTCCCAGAAGGCCGCGCCCCCGAACTCCGTGCGCATGCGCTGGCGGAGCTGGTACGCCGGCCCGAGCAGCGCGGGGCGGTCGCGGCAGAACGCCTCGAACTCCGTCTTGCTGATCGCGTCGTGGTGGCTGTCCTCGATCATCGTGATCAGGTCCTGGAGCAGCAACGACGTGCGCTCGGACCCGGCGAAGGTCTCCGTCGTGATGTCCGCCACGAGGTCCAAAATCTCCGCCCTGTCGAGGTAGCCCGACTCGTCGACGTCGTAGAGCTCGAAGCAGAAGTCGCGGTACTCGTCGGCCTGGAGCGTGCAGACGTTCCAGACCGACACGACGTAGGACTCGTAGTCGCAGCTCCCGGAGACGTGCTGGCCCCGGATGTACTCCATCATGCAGAAGATGCGGTTCGCGAAGTCCGAGTGCTCCAATCCCAAAAACGCCATGAGCTCGCCGACGGCGAGCGTGCCCGAGTGGTCCGTGTCCGCGTCCCGGAAGAGCGCGTACAGGACGTCGACCTCGCAGGGGTGCAGGTGCATGTACTTGAAGAGCCGCGCGGACTGCTTCGCCCACCGCGGCTTCACCGTTCGGAAGAAGCGGCCCCGCGCGTAGCGCTTCTGGTTCCGGTGCGACAGCATGTAGACGCCGCCGCGCCGCCGCGCGCGCGCGTAGGCGTCGCTCACGAAGTTCGACCGGCTCTTGTTGATGAAGTGGCTCTGGCGGTCGTCCATCGTGAGCCGGTGGGGCACCGTGTCCGCCGACGTCGCCACGGGGTGCTCCGTGACGTCGTCCTCGTCGTCCTCGCCCCGGGCGTAGACCTTGAGCTGGGAGGAGCGCGACGGCCGCCCCCCGTCGCGCTTCCACGGCTTCCAGGTGGTCGCCATGCTGCCCCGGCGCAGCGCGGCTGGGAGCAAGTGGCTGATGTTGATGGACAACTCGATCGATGCTTACCCGGGCGGTCTGGAGCTGCGCGCGCACAGGCGCGGCCGCCGCGAGCGCGCGAACGGATGGAGGCGTCGGGGGTGCTGCCGGACTCGATTGTTATGTTGATCAGAAATGCCGAAACGCACGACTTGGCCCCCCTCAAAGCATGGCTGGAGTCTCACGACCCAAACATGCGAGACCACGACGGAATGACTCTCTATTACCACGCATATTCTAATATTCACCCAAGCCTTTTATTCCCTCTAGTCCAGTTGCTCCTGAAGCACGGCTATGACCCGAACCATACGCCTTGGATCGGCGGAGATTCCGCAAATTGGAGCCCGCTTCACTACGCCGCCAACATGGACCACTTGCGCATTATCCGCTTTCTCTTGAGCCGCGGCGCGGCGCTGCACGCTGAATCCCTATTTGGTACGACAGAACAACTTGTGGCTCCAACTGAACACCGTCCGGTCCCTCGAGATGCCTACATCCTGCTCCGCGACGTGCGTTTGGCGGGCAGCTGGAAGCGTTACATCAACGAGCCCCGCAAGGGCCTGCTCGTCCTCCGCGAATTGTGCTCCCGCAGCCGAGCCACGCCGCCGCCTTCCGTTCTCGCGGCCCTCTTCGGCGCAGGTTCCGACTCGGCGCGCCCCGGCGCGCGGCGAACCACGCGGGCGACGCCCCTCCCCACGCCGATCTTCTGGCACGTCCTCAGCTACTGGCGCAGCGACCGCGACTTCGACCTTTCGGCCGCGTAGAGCGCCGTAAGAGGACTCCGCAACGCGTCAGTTCACCCAGGCGTAGCGGCGGTACGCGTCGTGCCGCAGCCAGAATTTGCACTGGCGCTTCTTGAGGTTCGTCGCCGTCGTCGCCGTCGTCCCGTCGCGCCAGTCGACGACGCCGTAGGACCCGTCGCCGGAGAAGCGGCGCCAGCCCCGGGGCAGCGCCCCGTCCCGCGCGAAGCCCGCGAAGGCCGAGACGAGGCTCCGCGAGTAGGCGCGGTCGCCGTCGGTCATGGCGTAGCCGTTCGTGAAGTTGAAGAGCATGAACATGTCGACGGCGTGGAACGCGTAGCGGGGCTCGTAGCCTCGGACGATCTGCAAGGGCGCGAGCGGCGCGTAGGGGCGGCCCGGCCGGGCGGACGTCGAGTAGACCACGGGGTCCGGCATGGCGCGCGCGAGGACGAGGGTCGGACAAAAGACGGACGCGTCCGCGAGGATCTCCGAGTAGAGCCGCTGCGCGTCGAGCGCCGCCCGGCCGCGGACGTCGTAGGCGTCCAGGAGGCCGTCGACGAAGTCGGGCCCGAGGTGCGCCGTCTCGTTCGCGAGGAAGGCCGCCATGTCCGCCGCCGTCCAGGTCCGCGCGTCGTCGCCGGGCGAGAAGTCGGCCTCCTGGCGCGTCACGCCGACGATCGTCGCGACGTCTGCGTCGTAGTCCGCTTCGCGGTAGTCGCGAGGGAGGACCCGGCCGTCGACGAGCAGGAGCGGCGCGTACCGGTAGTCCTCGTCGAAGAGGGAGTAGGAGAAGGTCGCGGCGTCCCAGTCGTCGGGCTGCGCGGCGACGAGCTCGGACGCGTCGAGCGAGTAGAGGCAGTCCCGGAGTTCAGGCCCGTCGATGAGCGCGGCGCATCGCGTCGCCAGGACGGGCTCGCGGTGCCAGTAGCCGTAGGCCTCCTCCAGGGTGCTGTTCAGCCGCGGGCTCCCGGACATGCTGATCGCGCGCCGGAAGAGCCCCCGCGCGAGCGGCGACGCGAGCAGCGCGAAGACCAGGGACCCGCCCGAAGACTGGCCGTAGACGGTGATCCGCTCCGGGTCGCCGCCAAAGGACCGCGCGTTCGCCTTGACCCACTCGAGGCTCGCGATCACGTCCAGCAGGCCGTAGTTCCCGGACGTCCCGCGCGCCGATTCGAGCGCGGGAGACGCGAGGAACCCGAGCACGCCGAGCCGGTAGGCCACCGACACCGAGACGACGCGACCCGCGGACGCCAGACTCCCGACGCCGCCGTCCGCAGCCTGGAGCGACAGCGCCCCGCCGCCCACGAGCGACCCGCCGTGCAGGTAAACCATGACGGGCAGGTCCGCCGCCGCCGCGTCGCGAGCCGCCGCCGCCGCCGCGGCGCTCGGAGTCCAGATCGAGAGCCGCAGGCAGTCCTCGCTCGTCGCGAAGCTGGAGGACCTCCGCTGCAGGCAGCGCGGACCCTGCGCCTCGAAGCTCCGGCAGTCGCGGACGCCAGGCTGTTTCACAAACGGCGCCGGCGGCGCCCATCGAAGCGAACCGACGGGAGGGGCAGCGTACGGCACACCCATGAACTGGAAGGCGCCAATCGACGCGTTCCATGCACCCCTCAGGCGTCCTGACGTCGTGTCGACGAATCGTTCATTGATCGCTGCTGCTGCTGGGGTAGCCGCGAGGAGCAGCAGTGCGGTGGCCATGCTGCCCGGGCCCATCGGCCGGGCATGCAACACGGGCATGCAACATTAGCTTCACGCGCCATGTTGACCCTCGAGGCCTGGTTCGAGCTGGGTCGGATCTCGCGCGCGACTGCGCCGGCGACGCGCGTGATAGATACGGCCGCCGCGAGCGCGAAAACGTATGGAGTTCCTGCCGGATCATATCGTCGAAGCGACGAAGCATCGCGACCTCGCGGCTCTCAAAAGTTGGCTGTGGAAGGCCAATGACCCGAACATGCGAGACCGCGAGCGTTCTACTCTCCTTGGCCACGCGTTCAGCGGTGAAGGCCAGATAACCTGGACCGCTGGCGTTCTTGAGCTCCTCAAGTTCGGCTCCTACCCGAGTCTTTGGCCTCACATGACTGGCGCGTTTTGGCGCCCGCTTCACTACGCCGCCTGCAGTGGCCAAGTAGCCATCGCCGAGGTGCTCCTTGATTTAGGGGCCGACATCGGCGAAATGTCCGGGGAGCACTGGATGGCCGACGGCTTCATGGGCCAGATGCCGCCTCTGCATTTGGCGGCAATGCACTCGCGATTGAACATGACTCGCTTTCTCTTGAGCCGCGGCGCGGCGCTGCACGCTACCAATTCAGACGGTCAGACGGCAGAACAAAAGGCGGCTCCGTCTAGATTCTTTCCGGTCCCAAGTGATGCTTACATCCTGCTCCGCGACGTGCGTTTGGCGGGCGGCTGGCAGCGGTACGTCAAGGCACCCCGCAAGAGCCTGCTCGTCCTCCGCGAGTTGTGCGCCCGCGGCCGAGCCGCGCCGCCATCCACGCGGTCCACGGCACTACTCGCGGCCCTCTTCGACTCGACTCATCTTCCCAAACCGATCTTCTGGCACGTCCTGGATTATTGGCGCAGCAGCTGCGACTTCGACCCGTCCGTGGTGCTCAAAGCGAACGGGCGATTGTACAATACGGCGCTGCCGACCCGGCACCCATAATAAGATACCTCACGCGCCCGGCGCGAACCTCGAGACCGCGTCCTCCGCGAGGTCGCAGATGAGGGCGTTGACGGCGTCGCGGGCGTCGCGGTCGAGGGTCTTGAGGACGTCCTTGGCCTGGTCCGTGAGGAAGTGGGACGTCGCGGTCGTGAGCGCGTCCCGGGGCATGTCGAGGCCCTCCGCGAGGACGTTGACGTGCGCGTTCGCCCGCAGGGCGGCGACGAAGTGGGCGTTGAACTTGTTGAGGAGGCTCGGGTGGTCGCTGAGGAGGCGCGCGGCCGTCGTCGAGTCCTTGCCCGTCACGCGGAGCCGCTTCGACGACGCGCTCGCCGAGTGCGCGCGGCGCTTCTCCATCTCGTCCATGACGTCGAGCACGTTCGCGTCGGCGGCGGAAGAGCGATAAAAGTACATCCAGTTCGTCTCCGGCGCCTTGAAGGCCGGCGCGTCCGGCGTCACGTTGAGCAGGAACTTGGAAAACCGCAGGTCGCAGTAGGGGCTCGCGAGCACCGCGCGGGACTCGAAGGCGAAGAAGGCCTCGAGCAAACCCAGCTCGACGGCGAACTGGAAGAACTCGTGGCCCCGGCCGTCGGACGCGTGGACCTCCGCGTGCCGCCGGCGGATTAAAGCGTCGACGTCGCGGGGCTCGCGCGCGGACCGCGCGTGCTCCGCGTCGGGCCGGCACGTCGTCAAACACAAAATCGCGTCCGTCGGCGCGGCCTTGGCGCGGTCCGTGACGGCCATGAGGAACGTGCCCGCGCGGCGCGGGTGCCAGATGTCGTCGTCGTCGGAGAAGATCGCGAAGCACAAACTCCCGTTCTTCGACCCGTCGCCCACGAGCCGCCGCAGCTCCCGCGCCGCGAGCTCGTAGTGCTCGAACTGGGAGTGCTTGCCCTTCTGGGCGACGGGGTTGAAGTGGGGCAGGCCCGCGCCGACGCTGTCGAGCATGTCCTGAAAAGCGGCCGCGTGCGCGTCGTCCGCGGACCAGGAGAGCACGAGGGGCACGGGCTTGATCTCCTGGGCCGCGACGCTCCGCAGCATGCCCCGGCACTGGGCGATGCGCTCCGCCGACGAGATGTGGACCGCGATGAGCCCCGCGACGTGCGCGCGGCCCGACGGCCCGAGCATGCGCGCGGACGGCTTCGACGGCCGCAGGATCGCCACGGGCCGCAGGTCGCCGGGCGCCGCGTCCGCCGCGATCTCCGCGGGCGTCTTGGGCCGCACGCCGTTCTGCGTCCGCGTCGGCTCGGGGGCCTTGACCGTCTGCACGCGCCGCGTCGCCGCGCGCGTCGGCCGCCGCGCGGGCCGGCCGACGGGCTTCGGCGCGGGCGTCGGCTCGGGCTCGGGCACGAACTCGGCCTCGGGCTCGCTGTCGCTGTCCTCCTTCGTCTGGGGCGGCGGCGCGGGCGGCGGCGCGGCGGGCTTCCGAGGCGGCGGCGCGCTCACGAGCGGCGGCATCTCGTCCCGCAGCGTCGCCGGCGCCGGCACGTCCTCGAAGGGCGGCACGTCGTCGTCGTCGTCATCGTCATCCGCCGCGGCGATGTCCTCGAAGGGCGGCAGGTCGTCGTCGTCGCTCGACTCGGCCTCGGGCTCCGGCTCGGGCTCCGGCTCCGCGGGCAGCGCGACGAGCAGCTCGAGGTCGCCGACGCCGCTGTCGAGGCAGTCGAGCGTGTAGGTCGGGTAGACGCGCGCGCCCTGGCAGGTGACGACGAGCGCCTCCGGGTCGACGGCCCCGGCCTCCGGGTGCCGCTTCGAGAGCCCCGCGGCGAAGCTCGCGAGCACTTTGCGCGCGGGCCCCGCGAGGACCCGGCCGCGCAGGAGCAGCTTGGCGCTGTAGGGCGGGTCCTCGCAGTGGAGCATGCAGACGCGCTCGTCGAGCTCCGCCGGCGGCGCGGGCGCCGGCGCCGGCGCCGGGTGCTTCGACACGAGCTTCGGCGCGAAGTCCTGCGTTGGAGCTCGCTTGACCGGCTGCGAGTCGATGCGCCGCGGCGGCGGCGGCTCCACGGCGCTCCACTTCGACGCGATCTTCTGCGGGCCCTCCATCGCGCCCGCTGACGCCGCGCGCGGACGGCTCGGTAGGCGACTTTCAGTGGCCGCCGAGGCAGCCCAAAATGCCGCGGCTTTGTTTGCGGTCAACAAGTCGTCAACGCCGACCTCGCGCAGCACGAGGAGGGCCGCCATGCTCGCCGCGACGCCATGAGCTCCCGCGGCTGGGGCAACAAGTCATGGAGCAAGTCCACGAAGGAGCGCCGCCTGAAAATCGCGCGCGACGCCATGGACGCCATCGATAAAAAGTTCGAAGACAAGGAGGCCGAGTCCTACCTGGACCCCGACAAGCGCTACATCGAGTACAACACGGCCAAGTTCGAGGGCGCCGAGGGCGCGCTCAAGGACGGCGACGCCATCGTCGGCCTCGCGGGCGACTTCGACTGGCTGTCCATGGAGTTCGAGTGCCCCGTGGGCCTCGCGACGGCCGGCGTCGTGGCCGTCGACGCGCCGGCGGGCGCCGTCGCGGCCGCGGGGCCTTTTCGCTCGCTCGAGCACGCGTTCCAGGCCCTGCGCGCGGGCGCGGACGCCGCGGCCGTCGCGGGCATCCGCGCGGCGAAGACCGCGCGCGAGGCCAAGTCCATCGGCGCCAAGGCCTTCCGCGGCCGAAAAGACGGCGACGCGTTCCGCGAACAGTCCGTCGGCTTCATGGAGGCCCTGCTCCGCGACAAGTTCCTCCGGTCTCCCGAGCTGCGCGAGAAGCTGCTCGCGACGGAGGAGCGGCGCATCCTCCACGTCAACGACTTCAACGACGGCTTCTGGGGCCTCCGGTCCAAGGACCGGAGCGGCAAGAACGAGCTCGGGAAAGCTCTATCGCGGCTGCGGCGCGACTTAAGGGAGGCCGACACGCACGACGACGGCCGCGACGTTGCGAGGTGGTGCGAGGACCGCGTGCCGCCGGGCCTGGACAAGCGGGACGCGGCGTTCGACGTCGCGTGGCGCCGGAGCGGCGCCGAGGGCCTCGCGCGGTTGCCGACGTACGAGGAGCACGCGGTGATGATCGCGGGGCGCCACGACCGCGCGGGCCTGCGCGTGGACCACGGGTCGACGTCGCGCTTCCACTGCTGCTTCGCGAACTGCGCGCCCGCGGACGACGACACGTGCGCGATCGTCTGCCTGGCGGCGCAGCACGGCACGTGGGTGCACCGGCGCGGCGCGGAGCCGTTGCGTCTGAAGCCCTTCGTCTTCTACCACCTCTTAAAAAAGGACGAGGTGCGCTTCGGCGAGTCGACGCGGCGGTTCCGCGTCATCGCGGACCGGCGGCTCCGGAGCCGCAAGCGGGACCGGCTCCTGCTGAAAATGACGGAGAAGCCGGCGGACGACGAGGAGGAGGCGCGGACGGTCCGCGTGACGTCGCTCGCCTACGAGGCCGACGAGGACGACCTGCGCGGCCTCTTCAAGCACATCGCCGGCGTCAAGGTGCAGATCCAGTACGAGTCCGCGTCGTCGCGGCGGCACCGGGGGCTCGCGTTCGCGCTCATGCCGAACCTCCAGGCCATGACCGCGGCGCTCGCGTGCGACGGCGACGAGGTCAAGGGCCGCAAGGTCCGCGTCTTCCGCGCCGACGCGCCCCCGCCCGAGAAGCGGCCGCGGCGGGACTAGGCTTTACGAGGTCGCCTAGGGCGCGCACCGCTTCGGGTCCCGGGGGAAGAGGGACGCCTTGCGGATGTTGTCGAGGCCCAGGTAGAGGAAGACGACGCGCTCGAGGCCGAAGCCGCAGCCCGCGTGGGGCGGCGCGCCGTGCTCGAAGGCCGTCATGTAGCTCTTGAGCGACGGCGACAGGTCCTCCGCGCCCGGGTCGATGCCCTTGGCTTTGAGCGCGGCCTCGAGCATCGCGGGGTCGTGGACGCGCTGCGCGCCGGAGCAGATCTCCTGGCCCCGCAGGAAGAAGTCGTAGGAGTTGGACAGCCGGTCGTCGGACGGGTCGCGCATGGTGTAGAAGGGGCGGATCGCCGCCGGGTAGCGGTCGACGACGAAGAAGTCGACGCCGTGCTGCTCCTTGACCAAAGCGCCGAGCGCGAGCTCGTCCGCGCCGCTGAGGTCGCCGTAGTCGTCTTCCACGTCCACGCCGCTGTCCCGGAGCATGGCGATGGCGTCGGCGAAGTGGATCACGACGGGCTCGTCGGACACGACGACGGGCTCCGACGGGTACTGGTCGCGGACGGCCGCGAGTTCCTTCGAGAAGTCGCGCTCGAGGCCCTCGAAGATGGCCTTGAAGGTGCGGTGGCCGACGCGCACGGCCTCGAGGTAGTGCGACGTGATGGGCATCTCGAAGTCCAGGCCCGTGAACTCGCACAAGTGCCGCCGCGTGTTCGAGTTCTCGGCCCGGAACACGGGGCCGACCTCGAAGACCGCGCCGAGGTCGCCTGGGCAGGACAAGAGAGATTCAACGTCGCTTCAACGTGAGTGTTCCGCGCGCGCGCGTTCCGGAAAAAGCACCCACGCTTCGAGAGCGCTCCGAGAGATGATCGCTCGTCCAAAGATCAGCCAAAACGAGTGGAAAACGGCCGAGATAGGAGCCTTTGAAGTTGGGAATGTCGCTCTCTTGTCCTGCCCTGGAGGTCGCCCGCGACGGCGAGCTGCTTGTAGAGCTGGGGCGACTGGGCGAGGCAGGCCGTGCTCCCGAAGTACTCCGTCGTGAAGACGCCCGCGCCGGACTCGGACTCGCCGCCGACGAGCTTCGGCGAGTGGATCTCCGTGAAGCCCGCGTCGTCCATCGTCCGCCGGAAGAGCTTGCAGACCGCGGCCTGGACGCGCATCACGGACCCCTGGGCCGGCGTGCGCAGGTCGAGCCAGCGGTAATCGAGGCGCGCCTCCTGGCCCACGGACGCGAAGGGCCGCTCCGTGGATTGAGAGGCCTCGATGACGGCCTCGGACCGCGCGGCGTCCTCGACGAGGAACGGCAGCACCTTCGGCGCCCGCGTCACGACGAAGAGCGACTTGAGCTGGATCTCCACGGTCGACCGCGAGCAGCTCGCGACGTCCGCGGCGACGAGCGCGCCGCGCGCGTCGACGACGGACTCGTCCGTCAAATCCGCGAGGAACTTGAGCACGTCCTTGCTCCGGGCGCCGTCGTCCGCGTTCTTGAAGTAGCAGCACTGCACCGTCTCCAGGGCGTCGTCGAGGCCCCGGAGCACGAGGAAGCAGGAGTTGCCCTTGGCGCGCACGTTCGCGACGCGCGCGCGGACCCAGACGTCGTCCGCGGGCGAATCGAGCGCGCCGACGGCCGCGGGCGCGCCGTCGAGCTCCACGGCCGACTGGCACGTCGCGTAGTCGCCGAAGCGCAGGCCCGCCGCCGGCGCCCCGAAGGCCGCGGGCGCCGCCGCGACGAGCGGCGGGCCCGCGGCCTCCGCCGCGGCGCCGCCGCCGGCCGCGCCGCCGCCGCCGACGGCCGCGGCCTTCTCCGCCGCGCTCGCGGCCTTGCGCGCCGCGATGTCGCGCTTCTTCAGCAGCTTCTTCAGCGCGTTCTTCGACATCTCCTCGCCCGTCTCCGGGTCCACGACGAGCTTCGCCGGCCCGTCGGCCATGGACCGCGCGACCAGCGACGGCCGGCGGCGCGACGCGGCGCGCGGACCGCCGCCCGACCGCAGCGCTCGGGCGATGGCGCAGAACATGGAGACGACGAGCAAGCGCATAAGAGACGGCTGACGAGCGCTGCCGACGCGACGCTCGGCGTGGTCGAGAGGCGAGACACACCTCGTGCCGCCGAGGACCTCAACCTCAATGATTTCGGCATCGATGCACCATGCCGTGTTTACTTGGCTTCTTGCTGGTCAGCGCGACGCGACGGGCTGCCGCGACAGGCTTGCTCGCGGCGCCGGGCTGCCGCGACGGTACGCAGCTCATCGGTCGCATGATGCGTCGCACGCTGGTGATCGCCGTCGTCGCCGCCGTCGCTGAGCAGCGACATCGCTGCTTCACGCGGCCCGAGGACTTTGACGTGGGCGCCCTGAATGGGCGCTGGTCGAATCGGACCGGCGGCGGCTACGACGCCGCGGGCGTCTGGCGGAGCACGGGCGACGCCGTCTACGCGAGCGGGAACGTGTCCTTCGGGGACCTGCGCTGCCCCCTGGAGGGCTACACGCACGCCTGCGGGAGCGGCCTCGGCGTGCCGCCGTTCAACTACTCCATGGTCCCCGTCCTCGCCAAGGACTGGGCCGACGCGCCGGCGCCGAACGGCGCGGGCTGGAGAGACGACTGGCTCAGGAACGGGGAGCTCGCGTGGCGGAAGCGGCTCTGGGAGCCGGCGCGCTGCGACCTGCCGCGCTTCGACGGCCGCGCGCTCGCGCGCGCGCTCCGGGGGCGGACGCTGCGCATCGACGGCGACAGCACCGCGCGGCAACTCTTCGTCGCCTTCGCGTGCGGCATCCCGCGGGACCTCGTCGCCGAGTATCTACCGGTCTGGGACAACGGCAAGTTCGGCGTCCGCTACCGCGTCGGCACGGGGTCGAGCGCGCGCCTCGTCGACGGGAGCGTCGTCTCCTACCGCGCGCAGCGCGGCGTGGACCCGAACCTCTGGCGGGGGCCGCCGCCGAAGCGCACCAACGGCGCGGGCCCGCGGGAGATCATCGTGGAGTGCACGGACCTCCACGAGGGCGCGGCGAAGCAGAAGGCGAACGTGAAGTCCTACGCGGAGAAGCTCCTCGGCGCCGACGGCCCGCGCCGCGCGGAGGAGCTCGCCGCGCACGCGTGGCAGATCTCCGTCCAGACCTCCGTGCAGCACTTCGGCCACGACACGCCCGGCGCGTGCGCCGGCGACGGAGCCTACACGGCCGAGAAGCAGAAGCTCGGCGGCTGCAAGCGGTGCGCGGAGCCGAACACGCACGTGCAGCACGAGGAGGAGCGCCTCGCGGGCCTCGTCGCGACGGTGACCAACGCGCCCCTCCGCGACGCGGGCGACGCCCACCCGCGGACCTTCTACACGGACTGCACGCACTACTGCCTCCCGGGGCCCCAGGACGCGATCGCCGCGCAGCTCGCGGCCGTCGTCGTGGAATTCGGCAACGCGACGAACTTCTACGAGCGGGTGACGCAGTCGCCCTACTGGCGCGAAAAGCACGCGGCGATGCGCGCGGCCCTCGCGCCGGCGGGCGCCGCGGGGACCTAAGGGGGACAGCATGTCTGCGGCAAGGTGAAGCGATTCAGCGAAGGGCAAAGCCAGAGGCAGCTCTTCGGCCGCCTCCGGCGTCGCGCGACCACAATTGCGCGGGCACTCCTCGCGATCGCGTGCCTCGCGACCGTCTCGCGGGGCCTGCGCGGTCCCGTCCACCGCGCGGTCAAACTCCGCGGCATGTCGAAGCGGTCCGCCGCCGAGCCGCTGCCCGAGGGTGCGAAGCGCGTCGCCGTCGACGCGGACCAGCGGGACCCGAGCGCGCGGGACCCGCGGGGCCTCGGGGACCCGTCGCTGCGGCGCGACGCCGGCGCGGGCAAGCGCCTGCCGAAGCGGAAATTGGCGCTGCTCCTCGGCTACCGCGGCGCGAACTACTACGGCCTCCAGAAGCAGTCGAAGGAGTCGGACCTGCCGACGATCGAGCTCGCGCTCCAGGAGGCCCTCAACCGCGCCGGCGCCGTCCACGAGGGCAACCAGGGCGACCTGTCGAAGATCGGCTGGAGCCGCGCCGCGCGGACGGACAAACGCGTGTCCGCGGCGCGCCAGGTCGTCTCCGCGAAATTGGAGGTCGAGAACGACGACGTGCCCGCGCTCCTGGAGCGGCTCAACGGCGAGCTGCCCGACGACATCAAGGTCTTCGACGCCGTGCGCGTCATCAAGGGCTTCAACTGCAAGCAGTCCTGCGACCGCCGCCACTACACGTACCTCCTCCCGACGTTCCTCCTCGCGCCCGACGAGGCCATCGACGCGGCCTTTGATGCCGTCGGCTACGGGTCGGACCGCGTCGCCGACTGCCGCAAGCGCGCCTTGGCCGCGCGCGCCGCCGGCGAGCACCCGACGGACTGGAAGTTGGACGACGCCGCGGCCGCGGAGGTCGCGCAACGGCTCGCGCCGCACCGCGCGGCGCCGACGCTGCTCGAGCGGCTCCGCGGCTTCCTCGCCGCCTACGTGGGCACGCGCAAGTACCACAACTTCACGAACAAGCTCAAGCCCACGGACATGGCCGCGCAGCGCTTCATCGTGTCGTTCACGGCCGACGACCCGACGTACCCGTCGGGCGACGCGGCCGACGGCGCCGAGTGGGTCAAGCTCGACGTCGTCGGCCAGTCCTTCCTCATGCACATGATCCGCAAGATGGTCGCCGTCGCCGCGGAGGCCGCGCGCCGCGACGCCGGCGACCCGGCCGCGGTCCTCGACGGCCTCACGAGCGACGCGGAGGTCAACCTCCAGGTCATGCCCGGCGACGGGTTGTACCTCGGCAGCCCCATCTTCGACACCTACAACCGCTTCAAGGCGAGCCCGCCGGACCGGCCCAAGCTCGAGTGGGACGACGGCCACGCCGCGCACGCGGCCATCGAGGCGTTCCGCCTCGACGTCGTCGAGAGCGGCATCGTCCAGGGCGGCCGCGCCGAGGCGCTCCTGCCCTGGGTCCACCACCTCTGGCAGCTCCGCGTCTTCGGCTTCGCGCTCGCGCCCGACGCGGACCTCCCCGTGCCGAACACGGGCTACGCGTTCGTCGAGGGCGACGACGACGACGACGACGAGGGGGAGAAGTAGCGGGATTTAAGTCGAGCTCGCCGCGTCCTGGAGCCGGGAGCGGAGGAGGGCATGGAAGATCTCTGCGTCCATGTAGGAGCCGGACATTTCGGGACTACCGTAGTTCACGCAAGGGACAAATCCCGCGACACGCCCAGTCAAAGTATCGAAGTACATCCCTAGGACCAAATAAAAT